TAGCAAGGTATGTAAGGCTATTCGATTTCCTATTTCTTTGGCATGAATCCAACACTTACATTACAAAAAGTAAGCTTTCTAAGTTCCCTTGGTAGTGACTGATCCATAGTTGCAGTTCCTACTCCTTAGAGCATTTAAGTGAGCACTCTAATATGAGTTTGTTATTAAATGTACGTGCTTACTCTACCAAGTATTAGCATGCAAGGTTTAAACTTATTTCATTGTTAAAGTACCCTTGACACGTATTTCCCTTATATAAATCAAAATGATCCTAGATTACACTTGGTACATATGCTTATATGTTGGTTATACAATCTGCCCATATCATGCCAACTTGCTTCAATTATCTATATATATGTCATCTTGTCACAATGTTCATATGTTCCCTTTATTGGTTATTACTCCCATTGTGTTACATTATAATGTTACCTCACAAGATCCCTATTTGCTCTATTGTACGTTTTATATGTACTTACTCGGAATATGTATCCGCCCTTAAAGTTGAATCTGCCCATGTTCTCCCTTGGTTCTACTTTCATGTATACCTTGTATTTGATATTAGTTAGTGAGTATTCGGCTACCATATATATTTCAAATCTCTTGGTTGAATGTTAAATGTTTTCACTTGATATGCGCTTCAATTTGAGATGTCAAAATGCTTACTGAGTCATATAAGCTCCTAAGTATTACACATTCATGTCACATTTGCTTCCCATGTCATTGTTATTGTCGTAAATCCATATTCATATGTCTTCTACTACTGGTCCATAGTTCCAAATCTCAACAATGATTATGACCACCAAAATATCAATCCCAAAAGAGTTATGAACATCAAAACAATAATCTCAAAGATTAAAGAATTTAAGTGAAACAATCTGTATAATTATGGTGGCAGCCCAGGGGCAAATACCTAGCATGGGTCGATCCCATTTGGTATAGAAGGGTGGCAGCTCAGGGGTGAAAGCGTAGCATGGGCTGATCCCAATTGGTATAAAAGGGTGGCAGCTCAGGGGCGAAAGCCTAGCATGGGTCGATCCCAATTTGTGGAATTATGAGGACAACATCCTAGGGGTTAAAATGCCTAGCATGGGTCATCCTCTTCTACCACTAATCAACTGGTCATTTGTATCATATGTCTTATAAAGATTATAATGCATAGAAAAGTAAAGAAAATAATTTAACATACACGATTCCACAAGTATAAGCAAAGGTGGTCTCTAATCCTTATCTATTGGTATTTGGTTTCACTTGAGCTCTCATTTTACATACGGTTGTATTATGCCTTACATATCCAATACATTATTTTGTACTGACGTCCCTTATTGGGAACGCTGTATTTCATGCTGCAGGTACAGGTACTCAACTAGTAGATCTCCCCAATAGAAGCACATGATACTCAACGATTGTTGGTGAGCTTCCAGGTTGATTCGGAGCTTTGCCAGGGTTTTACTATGCACATTTTCATAGTGAGTCATGGATTCCAGTAGAGGATTTGTAGACATTGTAAAGTTATCATCTGTATTCATCGTTTCACTTTTCATATGTATTGGTTCAGCTAGTCGACATGTGTTGTATATGAAGTAGATCTATCAGCATAGTAGTTTACTTTCTCATCATAGGTCACTTGTAAAACATGTGTTCATATGGTACTTGTCCGCCTCACCTAGGGTTGGGGTGTGACAGAAACAACTCTGGCAACTTTAGCACCAACATTGTGTTTAGAGGCAGCTCTAGCACTAAGGGGTCCTCTTTGTTTTGTGATTACTGCAAGAGATCAGGACACACAAAGGACATGTGTTACAAACTTCATGGTTATGCATCCAACTCAAGGTTTCCAAAGGGGAAGAGTTCAAGTTCTGCAGGAAATGTGTGTGCTTCAGAGATGAATAGGCACCAGAATGAAGAAGATTCTGAACGAAAGAGACAAAAATCCATTGATCATATCGAAGGATCAATATGAACAAATGCTCAACCTTTTAGGAACTCTGTAGGTTGGTAATGCAACTTCTAGCTCAAACAACTCAGACAACATGATAAATGGAACTGTGAACTTGGCAGGTATACTTTCTTGCGGCTCTTCTATAACTAAAATAGGTGATCTATCTTGTAGGTGTGTTAAACTAACTGTTGGCTCTTGGATCATAGCTTTTGGGGCATCACATGTCTTACAACAAAATAATCTTTATATATATTAGACCACTACCTGATCCTTTCCTGATTACCTTACCTAATAGATATAAAGTTAAAGTAATTGAAACTGGAGATGCTTGTTTGAATTCAGCTTTGACCATATGTGATGTATTGTTTGTACCTAGATTTAAGTTCAATTTATATCAGTCCATTGTTTGGCCCTACAACTTAAAGGCACGGTCAGCTTTAACAACTTTTCTTGTTCACTCCAGGGCCCTTCTCTGAAGAGTCCTCTGGAGATTGGTAAAGCCAAAAATGGTCTATACTTTTTATGTCTCAAGTGCCATAATTGTCATGCACCTCCTATTGGTAATGTTTCATCCCATGTTGCAAGTTCTCCTTCTCATTGTGAAGAATTCTCAATTGAAAGTACCAGTCAAGATTCCCTTTCCCCATCTCCTTCTGTAAAATACTCTCACAAAATCTATAAATAAGTTTGTTCAGTTGTTGATTGTCCTTGTCCTATTGATAACTATTTTTCTCCTTCTACTAACTCTTTACCTGCATCTCATAGTCATGATACTGAACTCTTGTGGCATGCTCGACTAGGACATGTTTCTTTTGTAAGGATGAAGAGTATCTCTACCATATCTGTAGGTTTTTCTGCCAGACAGCCTTTTACATGTACCATATGCCCTATGGCAAGACAAACTAGGATGCCCTTCCAGGAAAGCTCTACCACCACTAGAGAACCTTTTGAGCTATTACACATTGATCTATGGGGACCTTATTATGTACCCACTCATGATGGTTATAGTTATTTTTTGACAATGGTAGATGATCACAGTAGATCAACCTGGACACAGTTGATCAGGTGCAAAAGTAATGCACTACAGGTTGTGAAGGCTTTTGTATCTCTCATATAAAACCAATTTCAAACCAAGTTAAAAACCATTAGGCTGATGATGGTCTAGAATTCACAAGTGGTGAAGCAACCAGGCTTTTCCAAGAAAAAGGAATAATACGTAGGCTTGTAAATGCGAAAATGGGCATTAAAAAATGTTGTGAGTATCGTGATGGTTCTCCAACTTATTACGGAGGTCCTCATAAAAAAAATTAGAAAAATATTTTGGGTGCTTCGGGACGCCAAATTCATTGGCTAATACACACGAAAAATTGAGGAATTTGCGTGATTCCTAAAAAAGGGCATGTAAATGCGAAAATGGGTATTAAAATATGGTGTGAATATACGCGATGGTTCCCCAACTCAATACGGAGGTCCGCATAAAGTTTTTTGAGAAAAAAAATTTGGATGTTCCGAAACGCCAGATTCATGGGCTTATACACATGAAAAATTGAATAATTTGTGCGATTCCTAAAATAGGGCCTTTAAATGCGAAAATGTGTGTTAAAAAATTGTGTGAGTATACGTGATGGTTCCCCAACTCATTACGGAAATCCTCATAAAAGTTTTTTGTGAAAAAAAAAATTTTGGTGCCCTAGAGCGCCAGATCCATGGGCTAATACACATGAAAAATTGAGGAATTTTCTAGACCTTGTATGTGAAGTTGATACTTATAAAAAAGAAGTAATTCACACACACATTAGTAATTCTAGATCAGACAAAAAAGAGCAAACCTAATATGATAACCACATGACATAAGGCAGTGAGACATTCCTTTTATATACATTTCATATCTTTCAAAAGTAAAATGTTGAATACAAGACAAGCCAAAATTCAAACTTATGCTAAAAAGAGAAGCAAACAAGAACCATAATGGAGTTTCAACATGAGAAGTCTTATATGATATTGTACATTTTATTTCAAATTTTTAATTATTGATCCAAAAGCCTCACTGAACACATAAAGAATAAATAAGTTGTAGAACCCCAACCAAGAAGCAATTAAATTGTCAATAACATACCATAATAGTTATTCTAGTAAGCGGATGATTTCTTAAGAATAATATTATTGTTCCAAGAAACTGTGCTTCAAACATTTTCATTCTTGTTTCAATCATCTATGAACCATAATAGTTTTGGTAGTGCATGTAAAACTATCAAGCTTTTACTTAAAAATCAATTATAAGGAGAAAATTATCCAAGTAATCTAATCAAGTAAACTGTCTTTTTAATTGATAACAGATCAGAACCAAGCTTAAATGTTTAAACAAATAAACTATGTACTAGTTAGAAATAAAGATACAACATAGCCAAATGAATAAGACATACAACTTTCAGTTCATTTTAGATACAATAACATCGGGGAACAATATAATCAATTCAGTCATATACATCGGAAAACAATGGAATCAATTCAATTCGTAGAGCCGATGAGCAATTATCATGGATCGCGAGGCTAAGATACTCATCATGTTGAGAATGAAAATCACTCGACACCATTTGATGTTACAAGATAGAATCAAGGATAAAGAAATGAAAGAGAAGAAGAAGGAATCAATGTTAGTCTCTATGTGTTCAAAGGAAATTCAAAATCAAGGTCAAAATAAGTATAAAGGCAATTTTCCCTCTTTAGACTGCTATGGACATGTGGGAAATAAATCATATTGGAAATGACATCATTCTCAGCCATTTGATCAGAATAATACACAACTTTTGACATCACATGGTAATGGTTAGAGTTTGTTATAGCTTAAGCAATAGAAATAGGACAGCTGAACAAATGCATTTATATTTATGTTTATTTTTATACAGTAAATACTTGTATAAATACAGGAGCAGTGAAGCAATATAGATCATCCGAAAATTTCCCAATTTTGTGCCTTCTTTATTTTTCTGTTCTTCAATTATGCCTTTATTTTCTTGTTCCTTTCTTTACGGTATCAGAGCAGTAAGGTTGAATTCCTACAATGGGAACGACTTCTGCTTCAAGTTCAGATGTTGTTGGATCCAAATCAATGGATTCAAGCAACCCCTATTATCTTCATCATTCAGATTCCCTTAGAATGTCTCTTGTGAACTCCATCTTTGAAGGTAAAGGATATGGGGATTGGAGAAGAACCATCATCATTGCTCTATCAGCTAAGAATAAGTTGGGCTTCATTGATGGAGGTTGCAAAGCACCAGGATCTGATTCATCAGATTTAAAACTCCGGGAGAGAACCAATAACATGGTGACTTCATGGTTACTTTATTCCCTTTCCAAAGAGATTGCGGAGAGTGTCATCTACTCTAAAATTGCAGAAGCTCTTTGGAAAGATCTTGAGGATCGTTTTGGTCAGCCCAATAGAGCAAAGCTTTATCACCTGCAAAAAGAACTGAATGATTTAGTTCAAGGGTCTAATGATATTGCAAGATACTATACAAGATTGAAAGGACTATGGAATGAGCTAGATCTTTTGAATACTAAAAATTGTTGCTCTTGGACCTGTACTTATGGAGGAAAGAATGTTTCCAGTAAAGCTTTGCAAGATGAGAGGCTCATTCTATTTCTCATGGGTTTGAATGATGCCTACTCACCTGCAAGGTCTACTATCTTGATGATTAACGCTCTTCCCTCTGTCAGTTTAGCTTACTAACTCATTATGCAGGATGAGAAGTAGAGGGAGGTGGCCATTCAGTCACATTTTCCAGCAAATTCGGCCTCTTATTTGGCCACTAATCAGAAAATCATTGGAACTAGTGATATAAGGGGAAGGAAGACCGATTTGTTGTGTTCTCACTGCAAGAAGCCTGGATATACAGTGGATAAGTGTTACAGGATTGTTGGCTTTCCCTCAGATTTTAAGTTCACTGGGTCTAAGAAAATTACAGGGAATATGAAAAGCAATGCTATTGCTGCTCCTGGAGAAGGAGATGATGAACTTGTGCAAGAGAACTCTTTAGGAATGAACCAACTTAGCAAAGAGAAATTTTCTCAACTCATTCAGTTACTCCACCAGGTCAAAGTTAGTCAATCTGAGCCTGCTCTTTCAGATGTCAGTGCCAACTCTGCAAGTAAAAATCACTCTGTTTCATGCCATATTTTAATCAAGTCTAGTAAATGGATATTAGACACAGGAGCATCAGAACATTTATTTTCTAATCCAGAGCTTTTCACTTACCCAAGTCCTTTAACCAATCCTATCTATGTCAATTTTCCTGATTCTTCTAAGGTAAAAGCTACTCATATAGGAAGTGTTGCTTTTTTCCCTGATTTGATCATTCATAGAGTTCTTTATGTTCCTTCTTTTAAAATCAATCTTCTATCTATTCACAAGCTTTGTATGCAATTAGAGTGCTTTATCATTTTTTCTTCTTTTAATTGTGTCTTGCAGGGCCCTTCAATGAAGAGGCCACTGGCTCTTGGTGAAGTGAGGGATGTGCTTTATCAATTAGGTTCTACCAGTTTGTCTTCCAAGAAAAGAGTCCAGCATAGAGATCTAGCTACTAGGACTTCTTGTTTAGTTTCTGTTTCTAGTTCTGTAGTAATAAAGGGGAATTCTGATGCAAAGCTTTGGCACAACAGATTAAGGCATTTGCCCATTCCAGCAATTAAATATATCAAATCTTTTGTTTTTAAATCTATGTCAAATTGTTATTGTGATGTTTGTCCCCTTGCAAGGCAATCTAAGCTCCCCTTTCCAACCAGTGATATCAAAACAAAGTCCATCTTTGAATTAATTCATATTGACACATGGGGACCTTATAAATCTCCAACCTACAATGGTTTTAAGTATTTTTTAACTATTGTGGATTACTTTAGTAGAGCTACTTGGACATACCTCTTAAAACAAAATCAAATGCCTTTTTCATGCTCAAATATTTTCTAGCCATGGTTGAGAGACATTTTAATTGTCCAGTCAAAATTATAAGGTCTGATAATGCCTAGGAGTTAGGAAGAAGCATTATTGGTATTGAATTCTTTAATTCTAAAGGAATTTTGCACCAAACATCTTGTACTGCCACCCCACAACAAAATGTAGTAGTAGAAAGAAAACATAGGCATCTTTTGAAAACCTCTAGGTCTTTTCTTTTTCAATCAGGACTGCCTATTTCCTTTTGGGGAGAATGTGTCTTAACTGCCACTTTTCTTGTTAATAGGTTTCCATCTAGAGTTTTAAAGGGGTTGTCACCTTATGAAGTTCTCTATAAACAACCTCCTACTTATACTAATTTGAGATCTTTTGGATGTTTTTGTTTTGCCTCTACTCTTTCTCAATCTAGACCAAAATTCCATCCCAGAGACTTGCCTTGTGTTTTCTTGGGATATCCTACTAGACAAAAGGGATATAAGCTAATGTCTTTAAAGTCAAGGAAAATTATAAGCTCTAGGGATGCCAAGTTCATTGAGTCTATTTTTCCTTTCAAGAACAACTCCAATCCTAGTTCTACCCCTGTGGGAATTTTTTATGCACCTCATTCTCAAGAGCAAGATATTCCTAATGATCCTTCAGTATTTTCATATTCATCACCTCAAGAATCTACTCCTCTTGTTGATGTTTCTCCCTCAGATTCTCCATCTTCTGCTAATTTACATACACCTTTTGATGTCATACCAACTAGACAATCTTCTAGAATACATAAGAAGCCTAGTTACCTATCATACTATGTTTGTAATGCAGTATATTTCACCAATCTTACTCAGTCATGTTGCACTTCCCCTATCAGTCCATCTATCTATCCTTTTGCTGCCCTTTCTTCTATTAATCAAAACACTATAAATTTTACCTTGAATATCAGTGAGCCAACCAGTTTTTCACAAGCTTCTATGCATCCTGGTTGGTAAGAAGCTATGGCATCTGAAATTGCAGCATTAGAGGCTAACAAGACTTGGGAAGTAGTTTCTTTGCCAAAGAGAAAGAAGGCTTTTCCTTGTAAATGGGTGTACAAGATCAAACAAAGGTCAGATGGAAGTTTGCAGAGGTTGAAGGCTATATTAATGGTTCGAGGAGATATTAAAAAAGAAGGCATTGATTTTAATGAAACTTTCTCCCCTGTTGTTAAAATGACCACCATTAGAAGCATCTTGACCATTGCAGTCAAGAAATAATGGATTATTTTCCAATTGGATGTTAACAATGCCTTGTTGCATAGGGAATTACAAGAAGAAGTGTATATGCAGTTTCCACCTGGTATGGTGTTCCCTAGTGATAATCATGTTTGTAAGCTCACTAAGTCCCTATATGGACTTAGACAGGCATCACGTCAATGGTATGCACGACTCACTTCAGCTCTAAACTATAAGGGGTTTATTTCATCCTTGAATGATTATTCCCTATTTGTCAAAAATGATGGTCAATTTATTTCCATTGTAGCGGTGTACGTTGATGATATCATATTTACAGGAAACAACTAGACAGAACTTGAGCAACTCAAAACTTTTCTTAATGAGGAATTCAAAATAAAGGATCTTGGAAGCTTACATTATTTTTTAGGCCTTGAAATCCTCCGGGAAGATCATGGATTGATCATCACTCAACAGAAATACACTATGGATCTTCTCTCCGAGTATGATTGTTCTTATCTTCCAGTTGTCTCTTCACCTCTAGATCCTGCAACAAAGTTATCAACTTTATCAGGGGACTTATTGAATGATGCTACATCTTACATAAGATTAATAGGTAAAATAAATTACCTCACTCATAGCCGACCAGACATAAAGCTTCGCAGTATAACATTTGTCTCAATTGATGCAAGAACCTCGAATCCTTCATTTTTCTGTAGCTCTACGAGTCATTCGATATCTCCGAATTAATTCGAGTCAGGGATTATTTCTATCATGAGACTCTTCTCTCAAGTTGGTTGCTTTCTGTGATGCTGATTGGGGTTCCTGTATGGATACACACAGATCGGTAAGCGACTACTTTATTACGCTAGGAGGCTCACCAATTTCAGGGAAATCAAAGAAACAACTCTCCATTTCCTTATCATCGGCACAAGCTGAATATCGCTCAATGAGACGTGTTGTAGCAGAACTATCCTGGCTCAATCGACTCCTTATCGACCTTGGAAGTCCATCGGAGCTTCTTATTCCCGTTCATTCCAATAGTCAGGCGGCGATACATATTGCTAAGAACCTGGTCTTCCACGAACCGACCAAACATGTGGAACTCGACTGCCATTTTGTGCGGCAATAGTATCTTGTCGAGCTTATCTCTTTTTCTTATGTTCCCGTTTCATCTCAGCTAACCGATCTGTTCACCAAGGCACTCTCTAGACCTTCTCCTCAAATCATTCTCCCTAAGTTGGGACTCCTTACACTCCCCTCCAACTTGAGGCAGGGTGTTGAGAATGAAAATCACTCGACACCATTGATGTTACCAGATAGAATCAAGGATGAAGAAATGAAAGAGATGAAGAAGGAATCAGTGTTAGTCTCTATGTGTTCAAAGAAAATTCAAAATCAAGGTCAAAAAAAGTATAAAGGCAATTTTCCCTCTTTAAGCTGCTATGGACACGTGGGAAATAAATCATATTGGACATGGCATCATTCTCAACCATTTGATCAGAATAATACACAGATGTTGACACCACATGGTGATGGTTAGAGTTTGTTACAGCTTAAGCAATAGAAATAGGACAGTTGAACAAATGCATTTATATATTTATGTTTATTTCTATGCAGTAAATACTTGTATAAATACAGGAGCAGTGAAGCAATATAGATCATTAGAAAATTTCCTAATTTTGTGCCTTCTTTATTTTTCTGTTCTTCAATTATGCCTTTATTTTCTTGTTCCTTTCTTTACCAACTCACCAGCGATAAAGAGGGAAGAAAGATGAGTTATAATATCTTGTTTGGTGACCGAATGTGGTGATACAAAGATAAGTTGGGTTGGAGCGCCAATGACAATTACTGATTAGAGTCTTAACAAGAGACATTTATCATACGGTAAAGTCTTGTATTCATGAATTTGTTTTCTCAAAATACTAATGTTTTGATTTATAGATAAAAAGAATTAGAGCTAATTGATTAAGTGCTGTGAAATAAATGGGTGGAAAAATGATAGTAGTACTATTCTTGATTTAAATAAGTGGCTTTAAGTAGTTAATTATCTGTTATTGCTGATAAAAAGGTTCATTTTTGTGACCAAAATCTTTTTACCGCTGGTATTTCATTTTAAGGAATGAATTCATGAAAATTGAAGTGTTGCCTGTCAGTAAAAGTACTTTTAATAGTAGTGATACTTCAAGATTTCGAAATAAAAGTAGACTTGATAGTAATTAATAAGAGAGCAAAATATAATATATATATATATATATATATATATATATTGAATTGTTTTTGTACTAAAATATCCTCCACGTATAATTGTAAAAGATTTAGTTTATTATTTTTCTTGTTATTGTTTTTTTCCTCCTAAAATTGATTCACCACCAAGACCAACATGCCTTTCCTAGCAACCACTGAAGAAATAAAGAGTGATGAACCAATAAATTCCAACAAGATTAATTTAGCCAGCTACTATGGAGATTGGGGAATTGATGAAAATATTAATGCTGTAAATTCCATTTTTTTTTCAAAGAAAAAACAAGAAACCTTGAGGAAGGATAAAAAATTAAAAAAAAACCAAGGAAAGTGAAAAGTAGTGAAGCTCGTTATACATATTTATGAAATTGTAGTGCAAATTGTTAGTCTAGAATTATTTTGGGATAAGGCACAAGTAACTCCTAGACTATGACTGAAATCTACATTCTAACTAAACAAAGGTCTTATTACCCCCCCCCCCTCCCCGAACTCA